TTGTCTTCATTGTATTAATTATGGCCCGAGCACTTAAAGTAAATCAGCGCCAAGCCCTAAACCCAACAGGAAGTCCGCTATTTTGAAAAAACACAGTCAGAATTTTGGCGATTTTTGCTCATTTTTGACCATTTTCAAAATCTGTCTCCTCCTAGGGAGTATGTCGTACACACCTGAAATTTGGCCAGCACAAACTACAGGAAGTGGTGATTAGAAGTTCTAAAAACTCTTCACACAAGTCTGATGGCGTCAAAGTGGCGGCCCGCTGAATTGTGATGATTCGCCATCAAAGACAAAGCGCGTCTAACGACCATGTACATGCTCCAATCTGCATCAAACTTTACATGCTTGATCAGAGTCCTGCCCTGATGAAACCAATATGGCAATATACATTCACAGTCATAGCGCCACCTGCTGGCAATAGGAAAGAACACGTTTTACATTTTCATGTGCTATTATTTAGCCGGTCCACCGTATTGACCTCAAATGCGGTGACATGAGCCTTTAGATGTTGATGATGACTCGTACCAAAAATTGTGAGTTTTCGTCGAACGTTGTGTCCGTGGCGGCCCTCTGAACTTTGATGCTTCACCATGACAGAGCGAGTGCTGTCTCCCTGCCCTCTGCCTCAGACTTTACATGTTGGATCAGAGTCCTGCCCTGATGGCATTCTCATGCCATTATCCATTGACAGTCCCAGCGTCACCTTCTGGCAACGGGAAAGGACATGTTTTACACTTGTATTTGCTATTATTAGCCAGCTGTCCATATTAATCTCGAACATGGTTAGGGCTATGGTTAGGTGATTGTCACTTTGACCAGAGCGCAACCCTGACATGCGCTGCGTCCAACACATGTGGAAGTGTGAGGGCCCGTCCAGCGCTGCTTGCAGCTTTAATTGTTGTGTTATTCTTCATCAGAATAGACTCCATTCAGTCTATAGAGTACAGGACTCACTGATTTAGGCTGAAACTGTTCAATCTGATCTCAATTCNTCAGTGTCTCCTGGAATATGAATATACAATAAATGTATGGATTGTATTCTTTGGAAATACGTATTAATTCTGTTGTTGTCCATCAGAATAGACTCCATTCAGTCTGTAGAGTACAGGACTCACTGATTCAGGCTGAACAGAGCTTCATGTTGGTTCAGACAGGCACAGAGTCAGAGCATCACATGACCCTTTCTGTCCAATCGTTATCGCTAAAGTCCAGCCCACCCACTGAGCTGCTTTATAACTGAGGCAGCGTTCATTCATTCTGCCCACTTCACGCTCACCACATCGCTGCTACTCCAGCCTCTGCAGATCGAAAAATCTCCTCCTCCTCCCCAACCACCACCTTTTTTAAAAACAGTTCAGTTTGGAAGGTCTATACCTTAGCATGCTAAGCGCTATATGATGACATGTTGTAAACAGCGCAATACAAATAATAATGAATTGAACTGAATTACCCCGGTTGTTTCCCATATCATCGGACTGTAGGATGCAGATGGTTCATTGTTGTACCTTGGATCTATGTAATCTGGATTCTGTAAAGTGAGGACCATCTAGTTGGTCTCCTTGTTCTTGTGTTTATACTGTATTTGAATATTGTAAATTTAAGGTTCTGCCGGGGGGTTTGTGCTCTCAGGGACTGTCTGTGTCATGCTTGCTCAGATTGTTCCAGAGCATCACTCGAGCAGTCACCGCCAAACTCAAATGCATGTGATCCCAAATGAATGGGTAAATCTGACAAAGTGTCCTGTCTGAAAAATCTGTTCTCAGTTCAAACAATCTTCAATCACTCATCCTTCACTGATGACTTTTGCAGAAATGTTTCGTAAACACGGACAAAATAAATTTCCCACAACAACAACCTGCACTGTGAATTCTACTAGAACTTCACTAATTTAATAAAAGTACTATGAAGGTCTCAGGAAGCCTTCTAACTGAACTGAAGGAATATTGTTGCTGATGTAAAGAAGTATAATCTGAAACATCAAAATATCTGAAATATGTCTTTTACAGATGGAGATGAAGATAAATCCCATGAATACCGAAGCAGTTATGGATTGCTGCCACCTTTCTGTGAGTAAAACTGAACTAAAACAGAACTGTTCATGTATTTAAGTGTAATTAATTACAATTTATTTTAAAGCCCTGATTTGATCAGTCTGCTGGTTGAAAAGTTCCCTGTTTGAATTTGCTGCTGCCTTTATTAGCCTTTGATAGAGATAAATGTTTATTACAGAGTCCAGCATCAGATGTCCAGTAAGTCAAAGGATTGGCTCCAAATGTATGTAGAGCAATAAGACAGATTACAATGCTAATAAAGTTTTACACAACTTTACTGCTGGAACAGTACGTGGAGTTATGTATCACTGCAGTCCAGAGATGTGGTCAAAGGTGGACAAGTTGTTGATTTACATCTAAATTATTCTGTGAATGATTCATACTTTGACAAAAGTACCTTCATACTATTGTTATACAGTCAGAATGACCATCGATATCATGACTGTCTGGAGTTTTCAGTGACTCCTGGAACTCTGATTTTCCTCTGATGGATGAATCTTNTTCAAACGATCTTCAATCACTCATCCTTCACTGATGACTTTTGCAGAAATGTTTCTGAAACACAAAATAAATTTCCCACAACAACCACCTGCACTGTGAATTCTACTAGAACTTTACTAATTTAATAAAAAATACGATGAAGGTTCCAGGAAGCCTTCTAACTGAACTGAAGGAATATTGTTGCTGATGTAAAGAAGTATAATCTGAAACATAATAATATTTGAAATATGTCTTTTACAGTTGGAGATGAAGATAAATCCCATGAATGCCGAAGCAGTTATGGATTGCTGAAACCTTCCTGTGAGTAAAACTGAACTAAAACAGAACTGTTCATGTATTTAAGTGTCAGTAATTACAATTTATTTTAAAGCCCTGATTTGATCAGTCTGCTGGTTGAAAAGTTCCCTGTTTGAATTTGCTGCTGCCTTTATCAGCCTTTGATAGAGATAAATGTTTGTTACAGAGTCCAGCATCAGATGTCCAGTAAATCAAAGGATTGGCTCCAAATAGAGCAACAACACAGATTACAATGCTAATAAAGTTTTACACAACTTTACTGCTGGAACAGTACGTGGAGTTATGTATCGCTGTAGTCCAGAGACATGGTCAAAGGTGGACAAGTTGTTGATTTACATCTAAATTATTCTGTAAATGATTCATACTTTGACAAAAGTGCCTTCATATTGTTGTTATACAGTCAGAATGACCATCGATATCATGACTGTCTAGAGTTTTCAGTGACTCCTGGAACTCTGATTTTCCTCTGATGGATGAATCTTTGTCAATCATACAATCCTACATTTTGGTTCTTTCATAGATTTAATATAGATCTTCAGGAAATTTGACAAAGTCTGCTGGCTCAAAGATGATCAGTTTGGTGATGTAGAAGGTGTTAATCAGATGTTGATTGACTCCAGCTGCTGACTCCTCTGATCCAGTTTAAACAGAACCATCTGATCCACTCATTAGACTCAGACTCTACAGTGGGAAAGTCTGAGGAGCTCAGCAAAGATCTGGAGAAGAANAATATGTGTTTTACAGTTGCAGATGAAGATACATCCCATAAATGCCGCAGCAGTTTTGGATTGCTGCCACCTTCCTGTGAGTAAAACTGAACTAAAACAGAACTGTCCATGTATTTAAGATTCAGTAATTACAATTTATTTTAAAGCCCTGATCTGATCAGTCTGCTGGTTGGAAAGTTCCCTGTTTGAATTTGCTGCTGCCTTTATCAGCCTTTGATAGAGATAAATGTTTATTACAGAGTCCAGCATCAGATGTCCAGTAAATCAAAAGATTGGCTCCAAATGTATGTTGAGCAATAACACAGATTACAATGCTAATTAAAGCTGCAAGCAGTGCTGGTCAGGTCCTCGCCGTACGATTTTCGGCCTTCGCGTATGTCAGGGTTTGGGCAGGAGTCTGATCCGGCATGTCGAGTTTGGGACACATGGGAGCACATGCGGCCTAGTTAGGAGGCACTTCCTGTTTAGTGGCGAGCTGCGATGGCGTACGCGTCGAACTGAATTGGCAACGTGCTCCGGTTTGGACTCAGAGCACGCGTGTAAAGTTTCAGGCAGATCAGAGCACGTACAGGCCAGTTACACAGCACGTCTCGTATTCTGGCGGTTTATGATGTTTGTGTGAAATTCTACAGGCCACCATTTTCACCCCGTCAGACTTTTGCAGAGCATTTTAATAACTTGTAATCACCACGTTGTGTAGTTTGTGATGGCCAAATTTCAGGTGTATACAACATACCTGATAGGAGGAGATAGATTTTGAAAATGCCTAAAAATGGGCAACAACGCAACAGAATTGGTCTTGGTTTTCCAAATTGGCGGATTTCCTGTCAAGTTTATGGAAATTGGCTGATAACTTTTTTGTGCGTTCCAACCTGCTACATATGCCTACTGAGTTTTATAGGTCTAGGTCAAACGGTCTTCTGACGGGACTCTGTTGAATGCCCGAGAAACAGCAAAAATGCGCAAAGTGGCCATTGATCGGAGTTGCACGGGCCGCCATTTTGACACCGTCACACTTTCACGGAGAGTTTTAATAACTTTCAATCACCACGTCCTGTAGTTTGTGCTGGCCAAATTTCAGGTGTGTACCCCCTAGGAGGAGATAGATTTTGAAATGGCTCGCGATGCTCACCATTTTTGCAAAATGTCCGAGTTCCTGTTGGGTTTACGGAAATTCACTGATTNGTCAGATCCTACAGCTCCAGCTGTTGTTGACTCTATAAGACAGAACAGAGACATCCAGGAGCTCTGTCAGAGCTGTGGAGGAAGATCTGTTGTTGTCAACATGAAGGACAAGCAGCAGATCCCAGAGCTGCTGGATCAAGTGGACCAGATGTCAGATGAAGGATCCAGATGTTTCACTAAGGACATGTTCATTACACCTCAGAGAGATAAGGGTCAGAGCAGAGAGCCTCTCAGGATGGTTCTGATCGGAAAGACTGGCAATGGGAAGAGTACTTCTGGAAACACCATCCTGAGACGAAATGTTTTTGAGTCAAAAGTTTCTCCCAAATCCGTAACAAAAGCTTGCCAGAGAGAAACAGGACAGATCGATGGTCGACCTGTTGTTGTGGTCGACACCCCCGGCTTGTTTGACACATCTAAAACGATGTCCGCAGACGAAGTTGAGCAGGAGCTTCTGAAATGCATCGACATGTTGTCTCCTGGACCTCATGTGATCTTACTGGTGCTGCAGATCGGAAGATTTACAGAGGAGGCAAAAGACACTGTGGAGCTGATCAAGAGAGTTTTTGGTGAAAATGCATCAGATTACATCATTGTTCTGTTCACCAGAGGAGATGAACTGACAAACCAGTCAATCAGAAGTTACATAGCAGCTTGTGATGACTACGTCAGAAAGCTGATCGCTGAGTGTGGAGGCAGATATCACGTCTTCAATAATAGAGATCAGACAAACCACAGACAAGTCAGAGAGCTGATGGAGAAGATTGACAACATGGTGAAGGACAATGGTGGCAGCTGCTACAAAACAGGGACAAGGTTTGAAAAAGACATTCAAAAGATTTTGGAAGAGATGCGAACAGAAATGCAACAAATGAAAGGCCTTGAAAGACGATACGAGGAGAGAATTGAAGAGCTAACAAGAAAGGTTGAAGCACAGGGAACAGAAATGGAAAAGGAGAGAGTCAAACATGGAGAGGACAAAAAAGAAATAATGACTCTCAAAGCAGAAATAGAGAATCTGAAGAGTAGGGGAAACAGAAGACAATGCATCGTCCAGTAAAAATGATGCCCACTGACTTCTCAGTTTGCCACTAATGTCAGAATCTCTCAGTATGTTTAGCTTTAATAACAGAACTGGAGCTGCAGGACTCCACCACTTTGTTCAGACCTGATAAGCCATGTTATCCCAGCATGACGTGAACATGTTCCAAAGAGCTTTATGTCGTGTCAGTAATGTCTGACTTCCTCAGGACTGATCAGTGGGGTTGAGGTGATGGGGAGGAAAGTCCATGACAGTCAGATATGTGGTCTGTTTGGTCTTCCAGTCATCTTCCAGTCAAAGCTTAGTTTGGGCTCAATNAGTGGGAAAGTCTGAGGAGCTCAGCAAAGATCTGGAGAAGAACATCAGTGACTAGAACCAGTCAGAAAGTCACTTGGAGCCATTTCAGAGCAGCTTCAGATCCCAGAACCATCAGTGTGTCAGCATAAAGTTCATGGTCCAGTTCCCTTATAATCAAGTTCACATTTCTTTCAGTGTCTGAGCTGAGGGTTGTTCTGTTGGGGAACCGCTGGTCTGGGAGGAGTTCTGTTGGGAACTTATTACTGAGAGAACCTTCGTTCAACCCTGATGAAGAACCAGACATCTGTCTGAGGGTCAGAGGACAAGTGAAGGACAAAAACATAGTTCTGATCAACACTCCAGATCTGCTGAATCCAAACATCTCTGACAAGAAACTAACAGAACATGTAGAACTCTGTGTGAGACTCTCTGCTCCTGGACCTCATGTGTTCCTGCTGGTTCTACAGCCTGAAGACTTCACTGAGGAACACAGACTGAGGCTCTGCAGAGTCCTGAAGCTCTTCAGTGATCAATCATTTGATCATTCATTGGTTGTGATACCAGCATCCACAGAGGAGGGTTTGGTTGGAAACCATTCAGCCCTTCAAGAAATGATCAGAAACTGCAGAGACAGATGCTTCTGGTCAGAACAACTTAAACGTCGAAAGCTTTTAAAGCAACTTGAGAACATTGTTGAGGAGAACAAAAGACAGTGTGTGAGTTGTGATCAACTCCAGACGGCAACAGTTGCTTTCACCAGAGGTCATCCAGACCCAAGAAAAAGGAGAGCTCCTGCACCTCCCCCAACATCAAGAGCTGGACCTGCTGGTAAGGACAGAAAGAGAATTTATAACTAACAGAAAGTTCA